AAAGAAAACTTTGACGCATAAAAAACAAATGATGATTAATGGATGATTATGTCCCTCTCAAGCTATAGTATCCACATCAACAATACAACAACAACAACAACAATCCTTTATCCCACTATGTGCGGTTAGCTACATGAATCCTTTTTCTCCATTGTGCCCTATTAAGAGTCAAAATCTCATCTAAATCTAATAAAGAAATGTCATTTCTACTATTTTTTAACCAAGTCTTTTTAGGTCTACCTCTAACTTTCTTAACATAAGTCAAATCTAATACATCTACTTTCCTAACCGAGCCATCTGAAGGCTGCCATTTTATGTGACCATACCATCTAAGGCAACTCTCTCTAATACCACTAGAGCTACTCCAACCTTTTCACGTATATGCTTATTTCATATCATATCTCTAAAAGTAAAGCCACTCATCCACCTGAGCATCCTCATCTCTGCAACACTTAACTTAATATTATGCTTCTCTTTTAATGGCTAACATTCTACACCATAAAGCATTGCAAGTCTCACTACCAACTTAATAGAATTTTCCATTGAAGTTTGAGAGGGACTTTTCTATCACACAAAAAGCCCGATACATTCCTCCACTTCAAACATCCAACTTGAATTCTACTAAAAATAGTCCCATCTATTTCACCATCACTCAGAACAATAAACCCGAGATATCAAAAATGTGTACTCTTATTAATGACTTAATTGCCCAAAGACAATCCCCCTACTAGATCTATTATTACTAAAATTACACTCCATGTATTCAATTTTAGATCTACCAAAGCGAAATCCTTTATACTCTAAGGTTGAACTTCATAATTCAAGTTTACCTTCAACTATCTCTCTAGTCTTATCAACAAGAAGAAAATCATCAACAAAAAGCATACACCAAGGTACAACCTCTTGCAAATGTCTAGTGAGAACATCCATAACTAAAGCAAAATGATATGAGCTTAAAGCTGATCCTTAATGTAATCCAACTGAAATAAGAAAATGCTTGGTCAAACTGCCTTGTGTTTGAACACAAATAATAGCTCCTGCATATAAATCCTTAATGACTTGAACGTAAGCATTATTAACCCCTTTCATATATAGAACTCTCCATAGCATTTCTCAAGGAACTTTATCATATGCTTTCTCTAAATCAATAAAAATCATATGTAGATCCTCCTTATTCTCTCTATACTTCTACATCAAACCTCTCAATAAATGTTTAGCTTTGTGTATCACCTTTATTCTTAAAAATAGGAATCAACACCCTCATTCTCCACTCATCTAGCATTTTTCAAGCTTCAAAATAATATCAAAAAGTTTAGTAAGCCAAGAAATTCCTTCATTTTCTAAGCATTTCCACACCACTATTAGAACATCATCAAGTCCAACAGCTTTTCCACACTTCATTTTCTTTAAAGCCTCTTTAACTTTGACTTTACTAATATGCTGATAAAAACAAAAATCCTTATCATGGTTTAAAATTGCGCAACCTTTATCAAGGCGCCGATAAATCTTTATCAAGGCGCCGATAAATCTTTATCAAGGCGCGCCTCAGTGCAATTTCGCTCGTTTACGCGTCAAGGCCTACAATTTGATAATGAAATTTGAGGTGTACAGGATTCCTCAATGGAACTGAGACGCCTTGCCTCATTTATTCGAGGCATTCGCCTCTTGACATTAAAAAAAAACTAAACCTAATATTTATTTTGTTGGTTAAACTTTGACCGTGTCATACCTAGCCTCACCTCTTCGCATCTCGTAAGCTTGTGTTTCTTCTCCTTCGCGTGGCAGCTCATCTTCGACCTCATCCACAACTTTACTGTCCTCGACGACTCGACCGCGACTATTGCAGCCTCACCTGCACCCTCAACCGCGACTTCCTTCCTCTTCTTCTTATTTCTTCTGCGTGTGGCTCGTTGACTCGTTAGGTCCGCCTCGATTATGTGAGTTCTTATGTGATATGCCATTGCTATTTATTTTTAGAATTATATGTTAATGAAAAGAATATGGTGATTTGGGAAAGATAGAATTTGAGTTGAACTATATTTCATGTTGTCTTATTATTGGGATATTTTGATTTCACTTCATATCTTGTGTCTTTTTATGTTTTACACTATTTACGCATTAGTATATAAAAAATTTATCATTTTATTTTAACACAATCTTTTGATTTTGAGGCTTACGCCTTAAAACGCCTTGAGGCTTACGCCTCGCCTCACGAACAAAAAATGCCTCAATACCCGATTACGCAATTTTAAACATTGATCTTTATTTTCATTTAGAGTACTAAGGTCAGTAAAGTCAATCGCATTCTCACAATCTTCATTGAAAAGTTTAGCAAAGTATCTCATACACCTTTGTTGAATATCTTATTCTAACAAAAGCACTTTTTTATCTTCATCCTTAATACACTTAACTTAAACTAAATCCTTACTACTCCTATCTCTTTGTTTAGTATCCACATGAACAATAGAAAACTAAAATTCAAACAAATTGCTTATTGTATTGTTAAATAATGGAAATTAAACTAAACACAAAAATCGCCTAAATTTAGTACCATGATTAAATAAGCATATTATGAGTTCAATAGTCATAGCATGAGTGAAGGTAATCCCATAAAACATTTAGTTTACGAGATTGGCTAGGCCTGCTAATGTTGTAGATGATCATGAATAATAGTAAAAAACAGTATCAGAAAATACAAGATCAGGATAGCTATACAATGTTGTTACTAACAATAGGTCAAATGCTGTGAACTCGGATAAACAATTTCATTACCAACATTCAATGTGAAGACATTCAAAAAGAAATTGATACTCAAAGATAATGGACAAGAGTGACAAGCATAAACGGGCTTTGTATACATCCCGTTATGAAACAAAGAAACAAAGCATGTTCACTGTCCTTGACTAAGATAATAGAAAATCCATATAGAAGTACAAAAAGCATCACATTTGTCAGAATATATAGATGCATCATCTAGTTACAAGATAAGTTAAATATAAATTGAAGTCCAATAGCAAGACCAAATGTATTTTAATCAAGCTATAAGTACGTAAGATGACTAAGATTAAATTGCAATCACGGTACTTGACATTTGACATGATACCCAAACCTCAACTAAATCAAATTAATTTTAATAAAAAAAATAACAGCAGAGACAAAACGCTATTTTAAAGTAAAAGCGACTAAAACTACTTAAAATTTATCATCAATGGAAATTTGACAATGCAATAACATGATTATTCTAGCAGTTATGAAAAAATCAAAATAAAGAAGCTATTTTCTATTCAAACAACCCTCCAATAAAGAGTTATCAGGCAAAGATAACCAAAGATCTAGAAGTTCAAGAAAATAAACACTATATTTTTTCCGCAACATGGAACATATGCTAGAACTATAGTCTATTGAACTTCAGAATCTTTTACCTGTTTATCGAATGAATCTATGAGGAACTATCCACTTGGAAGTACTTAACTGTATTAGGGTAATTAATTTTAATTGCCTTGAAGTATATACACCATACATAAAAAAATTTAAAATTGAAAATAAATAGAGAGAGAGGGAGAGAGAGGGAGAGCAAGCACCATTAATATTTTATACAACAGTAACACACAATATATCATAACATATGCAAAACAAGGGACAGAAACTAAGGAGGTAAATGGAAAAAGAGGTAGACAAGTAACATTGTCTTAAATCAAACTCAAAGCACATTCAGAAAAATTTAATGCAAGCAAAATGTACAAAATAAATTGCTTTGGAAATATGGAACGGAAATCAGTGTGAAAAAATAATTCTTGTTCGTGAGATCATATAATGAAAATAAAAGACAGTAACAACAATGCACCGAAATTCTGATTATAATAGATGTGCCCAAAATAATTGAATGAGTTATTCACTATTTAAGAGAGCTAGTAAAAATGAAAGCTGGATATTTTGTGACATATAAGGAAATGCATAAAACAAAAAAATTTAAACCCAAAAAGCTCATGGCATCTCATGCAGCAATAAGGCCGTGCTTATCTTCTGCATTGGTTCTCAATTCAATTGCCAGGAAAAGAAAGGTTTTCGTGAAAGGTTGCTTTACATAACTTTCATTGGAAAGTTCAAGCAAAGTGTGCGAACATGATTTTAAAGACAAACACTAAGTTGTCGCATCCACTTCCATCCACTTCCAAGAGAGAATGACAAAAGCCAAAGAAAAAATAACAAGTAAAATACTAAAATACGGCAAAATAAGAGCTCAGGCAAATTTAAGAGCCCTGACGAAAGAAGAGTTCATCAGAGAAGATATTCAAACATGCAGAAGTATTGAAAACTTCATCTTGTTAACATTACCTGTTTTCCATAACATGTACAAAATGGTAGAGCACTATGTCAAATCAGTGAGGAAATTCTCCATCTACAAGTTTACAAATGAACTAAACTAATTCATCTTATAGCTTTAAAGGACAAACACAAAGAATGCACATCAAAAAACAGTTAAGAGATGATGAGCATTATAACAATGAAGAACAAGCAGATGATTTAAGAATTGATATCAACAATCAAACTCAAAGTATATGAAATATACAAAAATCAGGTGATAAGTACAATTCTGGCACAAGAATTCAGCATGAAAGAAATGATTCTTGGATACATCATACAGTACAAATAATGACCAGGAAAAAACATTGCCTCAAACATTGTGAGATCTCAATTGGCGGGCAACTAATTCAATAAATCATTTATTCGAACAGCAGAAGATTCTAAAATATACATAAAGACTACAAACGTACAGGAAAAAAAAAAAAAAGAGATTCAATCCTGCAAAAGTGCCTAAAGAATAAGATGTAGCAGACCCTCTCATCTCCAGCACTGGTTCTCACTTCAATGGCTAAATAAAGGAAGGCCTATGTGACAGTTTGCATTAATATACCTTGGGTTGCCTAGTTCAAGTAAAATTGGTTATGTAAATATAATAAATAATGAAAAAAACTACGTTATTGTTGCCAATTCTAGGAGAAAATTAAAAGCTTATAACCAAAGGCAAAATCAACAGCTAAAATATGCAATGAAACCAATACAAGTTTAACAAGTTTTTAGCATAAAGGTACAATACTTAGTTATCAGATTGTAATGAAGGAAAGAAAAACTTCCTCTTTCCTCTCATAGGTGATGAGAATTGTTGCTTCCATGAAATAATCTCCTGAAAGTAGGAGCAAAGAAATTCCTTCCTCCAATAAATCCTATCCTCTTCCAATGTCCTGATCTACCGCTGCTGCTAGATGGAACATCCATTGTGGAAAAAGGATCTATCAAAACTGGAATCTCCTCTATAACATTATCCATCATGCCACTCTCACTCATGCATGCCTCCTGCAGCTCAATCTGATTGATGTTGTCTAAATTCACTGCCAATGACCCTCTGGTAGCCATCAACCAATCAGCTACATGTGGAGTAACAGCCCTGCATTTCTTCACTTTTACCTTCACTAAATTAGGGCAGCCATCAGCCAGGGCTTCCATCCCTTGATCGGAAACAGGGCAACCCTTAATGCAAAGCTTCTTCAAAGCCATGCATTTGGCAGCAATGCAAGAGATCTCCTTATCCCCAAAAGTCTCACTTCCACAAAGAGCCAATCTTTCCAAATTTCTACAATTGCTTCCTAAAAGTCCGAGGCTCAGGGATGTGGGATTAACCCCAATCAAAACCAGTTCCTGAAGGTTAGGGCATCGTTTAGCAACGGCCATAAGGCCTTCATCACCAATCCTATTTGTCTTCCAACCATCGATATGTATCTTCCTCAGAAGTCTGCATTTCTCGGTAAAAGCAATTAGTCCAGCGTCAGTGCACTCTGGCGTTTTCACGAGATGAAGCACCTCGAGATCAGTACAGGATGCAAGAGCAAAGAGACCGCGATCGCTAACCTGCAGCTTCTCCAGATGAACCTCCACAAGTCCTGTCACCTTCTCTGCAACCTCTTCAAGGAGGCAATCCCACTCGCCAGCGCACCGGAAAAGCTTAAGCGTTCGGAGATTTGGCGAGCTAGCAATGACCGGGCCGAAGCACTGGCCGTTGTAGAGCTCCTTGAGGCAAATAGACCTGAGAGAAGAGGAAGAAACAACAATATTGCCGCCCACACCGGCTGCCTCGTTCAGCCCCCGGAGGCGCTTAATGGATAGTTCTTCCAACAGGAGACATCCACGCAGAACGGCCTCGACACCACGAGCACCAAAGTTACAAGATCCGCAAGAGAGCTTACGGAGATTAGGGCAATGTTTCGCTAACACGTACATCCCAGCCTCCGTTAGCTCGCGGCAAGCCCGCAGCTTCAAGCGCGTGAGATTAGGGCAACGCTGAGCAATGAGACCGAGCGCCTCATCGCCTATGCTATCAGCGCGGCGATCGCACTTGAGCGCCAGCTTCGATACCGCATCAAAGCGCGCAAAGAGAGAAGGAACGGCATCTAGAAGCGCAGCTCGAGCGTCGATGGACAGGCGATGACGGTTCTGACCCTCGACCGCGAGCCATCGCCAACACACGAGGGAGCACCGCTTCCGGTCGCTGGACCCAAGTACCTGAAATATTAAGGCGAGAACCTCGTCCGGAAGTTCGGCAGTGTGATCACGAGCCGCGTCGCCGGAGAGATAGACGTCGGAATCGGAATCTTCGGAATTCATCACGAAAGACGTACAGCTCCGGGAGCGACGTGCAGCAGCAGCAGATGGCTGTCGCGAGGGAGATGAAATAGTCTGACCCATCGATACCAGCGGCGACGCGATCTTCCTATCTAGCTCCGGCGAACGCAACGGCGGAGATTCTTCCCATCAATCGCATCGATGGTCTTAGTACGCCGGAAAGACAACTGCAGTCCTGCGATGATGAGATGTTCAAGAACGGACGTCAAATGGAGATTAAATTCACTTCATTTTCTTATCGTTTTATTTTTATTATAATATTATCTGATATCATTACATTTTCTTTATTTCATTTTCTCTGAGGCTGTTCAATTTATCACGATATAGGGATTCAACGGTGGTGATGGGATCCTGGACGGATGACGGAGAGAAGGAAGCCGTCAACGTAAGCAAATAGGTTTCGTCCTGCCATGAGAAAACGGCCGGTTTGACGCGGTAGACGCCAACGAGGGCGAGATATTACGGTTCCAAGTCCAACTAATATCTGGGGCCCGCCGTGTGGGTCCTCAAGATGAATGAATCGAGGAGCCATCAAACGATCTCAGCCGTTGGATTTAGAAGGACCATTAATAGAGCACGGGATGGCGGTGTGAAGGGGAGACCGTGATCATACGGTTGTGAGGGGTTGTCAGCTGGATTTAAACGGTGGTTACTTTGGTTAATTAATTAATTAATTGATAATAAATTTTCATTCATTATCTATTTGTTTCTCGTGGTTTGTTAATAGATAACTCTGTTGTCAGATGGGTTCAGATAGGTTGGAATCACGGGCGGGCAAAAGGAACTGGCTGTAAGGGAGGAATATCGATCCTTACTGCATCTTCTGCTCCGTGTGATAGGTAGGGCTTAAGTCATCTTTGACTGGAACTCGAATTTAGTTAATTAATTGGATTTGAGTTTGAGTTCAAATTCAAATTTTATTTCACAAGTTAGATCCGGCTCAAATCATAATCAGTTGCTCTTTCATAGTAAATGAGCGGGCTCGTAAGCTAACGGTCCAAATTAGGGTAGACTGTGATAAGCCAGCCGACTTATAACTACCTCTGCTCAATTCACATGTCCACTACGCCTCTCTGCACAAGCCCAGTTCTGCAGGCGTTATTCAACCGTTGGATCACTGCTTCTAATCTCAGCCGATGATGTTATCTTCAACATCATTTTACCTTTATAAAAGCTGTATCTCATGGAAATGAAACTGAATGAAACAGTAACTTTGTTTGCTCTGCATTCTCTTCCTTCTTAACCTGCAATGTAGCTTTTCTTGGTTTTGTTTCAGCTGCAGCGAAGACCGAAATTCAACTTGGTATCAGAGCAGCTGTTCCCGACGGCCTGATCTTCTTCTTTAATCATTTTTTCAGTTATTTCTGTATCCCCCGTCATGGACGATTCTTCTCGTTCGTCTGCCTCTTCTCCGCAAGCTGCGGTTTCGTCTGTTACAGCAAAAATGGCGGAAGTGTCCATCCCGACGCAATTGAAGTTTCTGATGACTAATGTCAAGTCCGTGCTAAACATTCAGTTGACGGCGGAAAATTATCGTCTCTGGAAGTCTCAGATTTTTAAGTTGTTTGCTGCTAATGGTTTTGATGGATACTTAGATGGATCGACGCCTAAACCTCCAAAACTGATAACTACTTCTTCTGGGATTGCTTCCAATCCCGAATATTCAACCTGGTTGCTGATAGATCAGAATCTAGCAGCTGTTCTGTATTCTACAATCTCACCGACATTTTTGCCTTATGTTCTTGATCTCAACTCCTGCTACGAGATCTGGTCGACTATTGAACGTCGGCTGCAATCGACCAACCGTTCTCGTATCCTTCAGCTTAAGAATGAACTGCATCATGTGTCGATGAAGGATAAATCAATGATGCAGTATCTTTCGGAGATTAAGAGCAAGGTAGACGTCATTGGCTCTGCTGGAGCACCGTTGTCTTCGGATGACATTATCATGTATACATTGAACGGTTTGCCTCCTGCATATCAAGGCTTCAAAACCGCAATACGGACGAATTTAAATCCAATTAGCTTGGATGATTTCTATTCATTGCTGTGCAGTGAAGAATTAAATTTAGTCGCTGATTCTCTTCGGGACTTATCTGTTTCGTCCCCTGCTCCTGAGACTATTCCGGCTTTTACTGCTCAACGTGGAAGAGGCCGTGGTCGGGGTTATCGCGGTCGCTTTTCTTCTCGTCCTCCTCGTGGACGTTCATCATCTGGGCGCAGTGCGACTTCAACACAAAACCCAGTTGAGTGTCAAATCTGTGGAAAATTTGGACACAGTGCTTTCAAATGTTGGTACAGGGGTGATTTCTCATTACCTCCACCAAATGTTTCTGCATATTCTACCGATATTGCTCCAACGTCATCAGCAGAATGGCTACTTGATACAGGAGCTACTTCTCACTTGACGTCTGATTTTGCTCAAGTCTCCAATCCAAAGCAATATGTTGGAAATCAACAGGTAGTTGTCGGCAATGGTGAATTACTTCCCATTACACATACTGGTAAAGGGTTGTTGCCGACTCCGCATCGTAAGCTTCGTTTATCTTCCCTACATCTTGTTCCTAATCTCACACGAAATCTCTTATCTGTCAATCGTTTAACTAACGATAATTCTTGTTCCATCTTATTTGATCCTTTGGGCTACAAAATCAAGGACTTGAAGACCAACCAAATTCTCCTTCAAGGTCAATGTCAACGCGGTCTCTACCCCATCTCTACTAAATCTGCCATTTCTTCTAATCCTCATGCGTTCGCTGTCACCACTTCCTCACACCAACTATGGCATCGACGGCTTGGACATCCTTCACATCAAGTTCTTCTCAAGTTGCCGCTTCCAGCACCTTCCGGATGGCAATCTGCTGCTAAAACTTTTAATTGTACTTCTTGTGAACTTTCAAAAAGTCACAAGCTTCCCTTTACTACCTCTTCTACTAGGTCTCTTGCTGTTTTAGATTTAGTTCATAGTGATGTATGGGGTCCTTCCCCAATCCTATCTTTGTTTGGCTATAAATATTATGTTCTCTTCATAGATGACTTCTCTCGTTTTACTTGGCTCTATCCATTGAAATTAAAATCTGATGTTCCGTCTGTTTTTTCTCATTTTAAAGCTCAAGTGGAACGCCAATTTAATAAACATATTAAATGCTTCCGCACAGATGGCGGAGGGGAATACCTCTCTACAGCTTTTCAAAATTTTCTTGCACATTGTGGTATTATTCATCAAGTAACGTGTCCATATACACCTGAACAAAATGGCGTTGCTGAACGTAAGCATCGCCATATTGTTGAAGTTACTAGAACTTTACTACATGATGCCTCATTGCCTCAAAAATTCTGGGTTCATGCCGTTCAAACGGCTGTTTTTCTAATCAATCGTCTTCCATCCTTATCCAAGAAAACTTCTTCTCCGTATCAACTCCTCTTTCATCATCCACCTGATTATACTATCCTTCGAACATTTGGATGTCTTTGTTATCCGTTTCTACCTCAAAAGGCTCTCGGCAAATTCCATTCCAAATCTTTACCTTGCATTTTTCTTGGTTATCCTGCTAACACAAAGGGATATCTGTGCTATCATATTGACTCTAATAACATGTTTATCTCTCGTCATGTCAAATTTCATGAATGTCATTTTCCATTCTCTACTATACAAACATCTAACTCAACTACCGAATCAATTCCTCTTCTTCCTACTTCATCAATGCTTGTTCCCACAAATATTCAAAATGCTACTGAACTTCCTATGTCCACCACTGAATCAATCTTACCTGTTGCTCCTATCTCCTCTACTTCACCTGCCAAAACTTCTTCACCACTTAATCTTTCTACTTCAAGAATTTCTCCATCTACATCTCCAAGCATTCCTTTCACGGATGACACTTCATCTCCAATTGTATCTCAAGCTCCACCACCAACAACTTCCATACACCCTATGCTTACTCGGTTTCGGTCTGGCAACCTCAAACCAAAAAACATTATAAGTATGCAAACTGACACTATCCCTATTGATCCAACTTCTTACTCGGAAGCTGTCAAGCACCCTGCTTGGCGACAGGCAATGTCAGACGAATTTACAGCTCTGCAACGTCAATCTACATGGACATTGGTTCCTAATGATTCCTCTCGCAACGTCTTGGGATGTAAATGGATATACCGGACTAAATTCAATCCTGATGGATCAGTTGCCCGGTATAAAGCTCGCCTTGTTGCACTTGGCTGTCGACAACAATTTGGTCTGGATTACTTTCACACCTTTAGTCCCGTGGCCAAATTACCTACTATTCGCATTTTTCTTACAGTTGCTGTTTCTTTTCACTGGCAAATCCTACAACTAGATGTATCTAATGCTTTCTTACATGGAGCCCTTAATGAAACCGTTTACATGAGCCAGCCTCCTGGCTTTAAAGACACCGTGCATCCTGATTATGTGTGTCTTCTTCATAAGTCTTTATATGGTTTGAAGCAATCTCCTCGTCAATGGTTTGAAACTTTTTCCAACTATTTGCTGCAGTTTGGCTTTCATCATAGTACTGCTGACCCTTCTTTATTGATTTATACCAAGCAGTCCGTTCTTATTTACATACTAGTGTATGTTGATGATATATTGCTAACAGGCAATGACAATGCAACAATTACATGTCTATTAACTGCACTGTCCAGCAAATTTCAAATGAAAAATCTGGGCCGAATATCTCATTTTCTCGGTATGCACGTTTCTCATACTTCGCAGGGTCTACACTTGTCTCAAGCTGCTTATGCTAATCAAATACTCCAACGTGCTGGAATGTCTACTTGTAAGCCGATTTCATCACCAATTCCTACAAAATTGGTTACCGAGATGGATACTAGTTCGCTTGCTCTTCCTACAGCTGACTCCGATCACTTCCGTCACTTGATTGGTTCTCTCCAGTATTTAACTGTTACTCGTCCGGATATCACATTCACTGTTAATAAGTTATGCCAACACATGCATTGTCCTCAACAGTCGGACTTCAAACTTCTCAAACGGCTTCTTCGTTATCTTAAAGGCACTCTCTATTTTGGCATTCCCATTACTGCTACTGATCTTCAATTACATGCTTATTCGGACTCCGATTGGGCTGGTGATCCTGCTGATAGGAAATCCACTACCGGCTACTGTGCTTTTCTGGGCTCTAATCTTATCTCCTGGCAAGTTAAAAAACAAAAGACGGTCGCTCGCTCTTCCAC